GTTTGGTTAAGCTCCAACAGAAGTTTAAATGCAAGAAACATTTCAGGGGCTTCCCTGGTGGCGCAGTGGTTGAGAGTCCACCTGCCGATGTGGGGGACGCGGGTTCGTGCCCTGGTCCGGGAGGATCCCACATGCCGCGGAGCGGCTGGGCCCGTGAGCCACGGCCGCTGAGTCTGCGCGTCCGGAGCCTGTGCTCCGCAATGGGAGAGGCCACAACAGTGAGAGGCCCGCGTACCGAAAAAAAAAAAAAGTAAAAAAAGAAATAAAGAAACATTTCAGGAGGATTTCGGAAAAAGGAATAAGCTATAACGGTAGTTGAAGTGGTGCACTGACATTCCAAGTTTAACACGGGAAGGTCATGTACCATTTGGTAGGTTTTGTTTGACTCTCCTTTCCCTGTCAGGCATGCCATCCTTGACCCTCCTTTCTGCTAGTCCTGAGATTGGCCTTTATGCAACTCAGGCAAAGGCCAAAGGGGCTATGGCCTGAAGGGCTGCTAGGCCTGTCAACCTGCACCTTAGAATGTTGCTGCCTGGTCATCTCTCTGCTAGGCAAGAGCAAGGATGGACTCTGATGTGCACAGGTTTGCATCTCCCAAACACAGAACAGTCCACTGTCCATTAACCTGCTTCTCGTGAGATGACTAGGGATAAGGCTCACACCCTGACAGTCAGTGACAACACAGCGTCAGATCATTTCTCAGCCGTTTCTCTGCTTCGTCTTATGTTTTGATCTCAAGTTGAAGAGGGTAGGAGGTTGTCTAGACATAAAGATACAGCTCCCTCTTTGGGGCTATTGTCAACAGCAGTCTAGAAAGTCTTTGGATCTGATTTGTGCAAATCTGAGAGAATCACACACAACTTAGTGCAGTTGTTCCTTGGTATCCATGGACCCCTGCAGATACCAAAACCCTATTGATGCTCAAGTCCCTTATATAATGTTGTAGTATTTGCATATAACCTATGTACATCTTCTCATATACTTTAATTCATCTTTAGGTTACTTACAATACCTAATACAATGTAAATGTTATGTAAATACAATATAAATGTTGTGTGAATAGTTGCTGGAGCACGACAAATTCAAGTACTTTTTGGAACGTTCTGGAATTTTTTCCTCGACTATTTTTTCAATTGAAGTATAGTTGATTTACAATATTGTCTTAGTATCAGGTGTATGGCAAAGTGGTTCAGTCATATATATAATTCTTTTCCAGATTATTTTCCATTATAGGTTATTATAAGATATTAAATATATTTCCCAGTGCTATACAGTAAATCCTTGTTGCTTATCTATTTTATGTATAGTAGTTTATATTTGTTAATCCCTTACTCCTAATTTATCCCTCCTCCACCTCCCTTTCCCCTTTAGTGACCGTAAGTTTGTTTTCTGTGTCTGTGAGTTTCCATTTTGTATATAATTAGATTCATTTGCATTATTTTTTAGATTCCACATAAGTGATGTTATAGGATATTTGTCTTTGTCTGACTTACTTCACTTAGTGTGATAATCTATAGGTCCATCCATGTTGCAGCAATATTTCATTCTTTTTTTATGGCTGAGTAATATTCCATTGTATATATGGACCACATCTTCTTAATCTAATCATCTACTGATAGGCACTTGGGTTTTTTCATGTCTTGGCTACTGTAGATAGTGCTGCTATGAACACTGGGGTGCATGTATCTTTTCAAATTAGAATTTATCTTTTCCAGATACATGCCCAGGATCATATGGTAGCTCTATTTTTAGTTTTTTAAGGAACCTCCAGACTGTTTTCCATAGTGGCTGTATCAATTTACATTCCCACCAACAGTGTACAAGGGTTCCCTTTCCTCCACACCCTCTCCAACATTTATTATTTGTAGACTTTTTGATTATAGCCATTCTGACCAGTATGAGGTAATGCCTCATTGTGGTTTTGATTTGCATTTCTCTAAAAATTAGCAACGTCAAGCATCTTTTCATGTTGGGCATCTGTATGTCTTCTTTGGAGAAATGTCTATTTAGGTCTTCTGCCCATTTTTTGATTGGGTTGTTTGCTTTTTTATTTTTTTGGCTGCACTGGGTCTTCGTTGCTGTGCACGGGCTCTCTCTAATTGTGGCAAGTGGGGGCTACACCTCATTGTGGTGCACGTGCTTCTCATTGCAGTGGCTTCTGTTGTTGTAGAGTACAGGCTCTAGGCATGCAGGCTTCAGTAGTTGTGGCACATGGGCTCAGTAGTTGTTGCTCGTGGGCTCTAGAGCACAGGCTCTGCAGTTGTGGTGCACGGGCTTAGTTGCTCCACGGCATGTGGGATCTTTCCAGACCAGGGATCAAACCCATGTCCTCTGCATTGGCAGGCAGATTCTTAACTACTGCACCACTAGGGAAGTCCCCTGTTTGCTTCTTTTGATTATGAGTTGTATGAGCAGCAAATTGAACAATGTAGAAGAAATGGACAAGTTTCTAGAAATATACAGCCTGCCAAAATTGAGTCAAGAAGAAACAGATAATTTGAATGGACTGATCACTGGAAGTGAAAAAGAATCTAAATAAATAAATAAAAACCACCTCCCTGAAAATAAAAGTCCAGGACCAGAAGACTTCACTGGGGAATGCTACTAAACATACAGAGAAGACCTTGTACCAACACTTCTCAAACTATTCCAAAAGATTGAAGAGGAGGGAACACTCCCAAGTTCATTCTATGAGGCCACCATCACCCGGGTACCAAAACCAAAGACACTACAAAAAAAGAAAATTACAGGCCAATATCTCTGATGAATATAGATGCAAAATCCTCAACAAAATATTAGCAAACTGAATCCAACAATACATAAAACGGATCATACGCTATGATTAAGTTAGATTCATTCCAGGGTCACAAGGATGGTTCAACATACGCAAATCAATCAACGTGATACACCACGTTAACACAAGAAAAGACAAAAAACACACAATCATCTTAATAGACACAGAAAAAGCATTTGATAAAATTCAACATCCAGTCATAATAAAAACTGTCACCAAAGTGGGTATAGAGGGAACATATCTCAACATAATAAAAGTCATTTACGACAACCCACAACAAACATAATACTCAACAGTGAAAAGCTGAACGCCTTCCTGCTTAAATTCAGGAAAAAAACAGGGATGCCCACTCTCACCACTTCTATTCAACATATTTTTACCGAATATTTGCAATCCCCAATTGGTTGAATTCTCGAATGCAGAACTCACAGACATGAAGGGCCAGCCGTGAATTTGTTTGAATCAAAACAAGTCTTCCTGAAAGGAGCTACCCTGATTTATATTAATTTTTAAGTAGGCCTGAGGAATTATCAACCAAGATACTCCCCTTAGATTGAGCCTATCTGTGCTTTAATCTCAGGCCCCAAGTTAACATCACAAATTTCTCTTCCCACTAAATTCTTCAAAGTGAGCCCATGCTTTCATTGGTCTAACCTACCTCCACAGGCCTCTGTGATTCCATCAATTCACCTCAACACTGAAAGCCTGGAACAGCTGTGGATAAATACCAGGGTTGTATCTCGGGTGATACGAAAATCTGCATTTCCTAATTTTGCCACATCTCTTCTTTGCCAGTGGGGTTTGGCCCTTAGGGAATTGAGAATTTTAGTCTCTTGAGACTTCATTTACAACTTTTTTTGGGGGCCAAGTCATAAAGGAAAGTATAACCCCTAGACCTGAGACGTTAACGGGACAGTTCTAGGTTAATTTTTTTTAGCCTCGCATGATTGGCATTTGGGGTCAGATAATTCTTTGTCATGGGGGCTGTCCTGTGCAATGTAGGATGTCGAGCATCCCCAGACTCTACCCACCAGACGCCAGTAGCTCTCCCCACCCCCACCAATATGACAAACCAAAAGTATCTCAGACAGAAAATGTCTCTTGAAGGGCAAATGGCTCCTGGTTGAAACCTGCTGTGCTTATACGAAGCAAAAGGCCTGCAAGGACTTTTCCCCTTGCCGGCCTTCTCTCACATGGCTCTCAATGAAACTCTGCCAAAAACTAAATCTTGGTTTACTTGCAGTAGCTCTATTCATGTAGCATTTCATAACAAAATTGATTCGGCATTCACCATATGACAGCCTTTGTAGTAAGTGCCTTCCATACAGTACTTCATTAAATCCTGACAACAATCCTACATGGTAGGTACAATGGTGAGTAATGCCCACTTAAAAAGGAAGAAACTGAGGCTTGACAAGGTCAAGTGACTTGCCCAAGGTCACACAGTGAGTCAGTGCAGAGACACCTCCCCCCGCCCCTTGACCACCAGGATTTACTGTCTCATTTCTGCAGGACAATAGAATTGATGAGATTCACAACACCGGGCAAAACTACAGCAGACCTTGTGGGTATACTCATGGTTTCCGAAAACTCTTCAAGTCTGTGTGAATCTGTCTCCATTCATTTCACATGTTTTTATAAACACCAGGGGAACAATAATCATTTGAACAGTTAACTGATTTAGCACGGTAAAATCCACTTTTTTTCAGTCTTGAAATTACAGTGGATTTTGCCATTCTAACTGGGCTACTGCTTCTCCTTAGCCCCCGACACCACCCCATTTCTCTCCCGCTGCTCCTCAGGCCCCAGTACCTACACTTCTATTTTTCTTTTTATTTTTCCAAACAAGAAGATTGTATTTTACAGTTCAGATATTGCTCCAAGGGACAATCATGGGGAACGCTGCAGCCAAAATGCTCAGAAGGAAATCAAACGAATCGAGAATGGAAGAGAGTGGAAAAGGAAAAGTGAGAACACAGATATTTTCTAGACCCCCCGAAGTTAAAGCTTGAAAAACCCCAGTGCTTTGCAAAATATCACATTCAATTGGTAGTTAAAAAAACTTTTGTTGGACGCGCCCTTTGTGCACCAAATGGTTGGGAGGAGGCGCTGTCTGACCTGCGGAAACGCACCCTGGGGGTCCAGGCCTTTCTGATATGCTAGAAAGGTATGAACAGAATCTTTTAAAATCACTAATCTTTCTTACCTTTCTCGAGGCACCAGGAGGCCTTTTGGGGTCCGGAGTTAGGTCAGGTTGGTTAGGTCCTCTCTCCCTCAGACTGAGTCTGGCTCGGGGTCCAGGAAGTGGCATTCAGACACGAATTAGGAGGTGAAGGGAGGAAAGAGCGTCTTCAGGTAAGACTGCCCGGGAGACTCCTGACGCCATAGTCCGAATTGGCATCATCCCCTTATATGGGTTCTCAGCTGTGATCTCAATTAGAACAAATCTCGAGAACAGCTGTGAATCGTTTATAGCTTAAGACGACAGAATCACACTTAAAATTTGAAAGCCTCATTTTAATAACAGTTTTAACCACAGTTTTCCCTGTTCTTTTCCAAAAGCAGGGCCTAGTCAAGATCTTTTATTGCACGAAGAAGGTATTTGGTACTACTTTTCCTGAAGGAAAAACCCAGCCCTAAGGCCTCTCCTGCCTATTCTACCCCAGGAGGTAATTAGCATGGAATTCTTTGGAGGAAGAGGTCTAAGACTTTTAACATGCTTAAGTTTAGATTGAATTTGGTATTTTTCAAATTGCAACCCTTTAGAGATTGATAAAATCAATTTGGTAAGTTGCAAACAGCACTTTAAAAGAAAGAAAAAGATTTAACTCCCATGGCATGGTTTGAAGCTTTGCCTGGTGAGAGCGTATCCAGGAAAGGCCTAGCTTGAGTTCTCCCACCTGCAGGGAGGCATCCTCTCCAGGTCACTGTTTATCACAGTCAGGTTTAGAGGCTTGAGGAAGTTTAATAGCCCTTTCAAGAACTCACTAACGCAGTGGTAACAAGTCCTTCCCTACCGATCTAGTAGAATCTGCTTAGAAACTGCACACTTAGCCCACAGCCTTCTTCCCAAGCCCAGGTGCAGAGGGATACCTAGGCTTAGAGCAGCTTTATTTTCTAATGTAGGTTTTTTGAAAAAAAGTTTCTAGGGTCAAATATTTGAGAAACACTCTATACTGGGATCTTCTCGTAGATTCCCAGGGCACCTTAGCCTATGGAAGAATACAGTAAAGAGACCCATTTACTTATTTCACCTGATGTGTTCCCTGCATGTTTGACCTGGGCGCCCTTTAGTAAACAACCTCTATCAACAGTTCGGCTCCCCCAGACCAAGCCCTTAGCCTCGTAGCTCCTCCCTCAGCTTACCACATCGCAGCATTGCCCTTTATCACGCTGGGACCTGGGCAGTCTCTACTCTGCAGTCCACAGTAGGTCGTCTGTGTTCTCTTGATGGACTCAGGAAGTAAGATTTGCCAAATTACCTCCTCGACAATTCAAGGACCTTTAACACTGGGGACCCGATCATCACTATCACACTTTGGATTTTATTTAGAAAAGGACTTTCCACCCTGAGTTGATTTCTACCGTGACTGTGGAATTAAATCGAATTGAATCTAGCTGTTGGTCAGTTGATCACTGTGTGTGAAGTCTGTTTTTCTTGGCTTTCACGTTATTTTATATATTTTTTTCCTCTTTTTTCCCTGGGGTGCTGTGCTGTGCAGTGTGACCTGAGCACCTGCCGGTGTGCACAGCGCCAGGAACTCAACTGTTCAGCCACTTTCTTTCTTTTTGTATCATGTTCACACAGGAGAAACGGCTCGCTGGCCTGGAGTTCATTAAGGAACTGAATATATATATTGTTACAAAGCAGTCAACACTGCAGCCTGTCCTTTAGAAACAGGTGCCAAGAAAGGAAATGTTTCATATTTTCCAAGTGGCACGGACCGCCATCAGAGAGTGTTTCCAATCAGAGTCTGTTTGCGCAGCTAAATCATAGGTCTCGATTCTTCCTTATGCCTCAAGGGTACGGTTGCTGGCTCACGGCCGGCCTCTCTCTGACCCTGCGTCTTTCCTGCCATCATGCTGCTGTGCCAGCTGCCACTTCTGGGTGAAAACCTAGCTCTGGTCCCCTCCAGTGTCAGCTGGCCTGGATATGTGAAAGCTACTCTTTTCAACTAACCTTTCTTTGTCATTTCAGAAACCAATCCTGCTTTCCAGCAACTAGGCTGGCCAGGGTGTTCCATGCTTGCCGACTGCAGCAGCTGTTTTCTGCCCCCAGTAGGAGCCCCGGGGACGTACCCACCCACTGAGAGCCACCCTTGGCAGGCGACTTGAGGGGCAACTCCCCTCAGGGCCGAAGTGAGTTGTGCCACTGCCCGGGCTTCTACTCAGCCCAGCCTGCTCCCACCCCGAACCCCCAGTTTCCATCCTCTCTTTCTAATTTCTACTTATTTTCCTCCCTCGCATTTAAACAGCACCAGTGAAATAATGCCAGATGTGAAGGCTTTTTAGTTGACAGGCTCTAATCATCATGTTACCAAATTCTGCATGTCCCTGCAAAGTAAGGCTTAGCGGTCTGAAGGTTTCATTTGTTCATTTTACCAGTAAGTATGGACTGTGAACTGTGTACCAGACAGTTCTAGGCCCTAGAGAAACAACAATGACACAATCCCTGCCCTGGTGCCTACGTACTAATGAGGGAAGCAGAAAATAAACAAAGCGGGCCAAATATATAGAACACTAGTGATAAGTGCTCAGAAGAGAAAATAAGGCTGTGAAGGTGGGGAATGGAAGTTTGGGGGCAGGGGTGGGGGGGTGAGATTCTAGCAGGGGTGACCAGGGAAGCCCTCTCTGACAAGACGGTGTTTGTACAAAGACCCGAAAGGACAGTGGGAGAGAGCTGTGTGAGGGAAGCACATTTCAGACCAAGGGACCCACCAGTGCCAAGGCCCTGGGGTGGGATATGCCTGGTAGGGTCAGTGTGCACCGAGCCACAGGGCTGCTGTGAAGATTAAATGTCTGTGGAGTGCCTGGCATACAGATAGTGCTCAATAAATGGGAGCTATAGTTATGATAGTCACTGATCAGATATTTGTGGTTTGATTGTTGTAAAAAGGTACATAGGTCCAAGTAGGTCCAAGTCTGTTCCTTGGCCTCGAGAGGAGTGTTTTATTACAACTCTGCAGACCTCTGAGTGTGACCCCAACATGCCTCCCATTGGCATCCCTAGTTTTCCCTTTCAGTAGGGGCATAAAGCCATTGCCCAGCAAAAAAATGTTGCTGAGCAGATTGCGTTTGCCTACTACGGGGCAGTCATTCCTGAAGTCTCGGTAACACGTGGGAACTTGTTAGAAATGCCACATCTCAAGCTGCACCCAGATCTACTGAATCAGAAACTCTGGGACGGTGCTCAGCGAGCAGTGTTTATCAAGCCCTCCAGGTCATTCTGACATAGGCTAAGTTTCAGAACCACTGCCTAGAGTTTCTGTTCAAAAAGTCTCCCAGGGCTGGAAAAGGCTTCACTAAGTCCCCTTGGTTGAACCAACTGATCAGAAAGAAGGTTTGTTTCCATTGTTGCTGTTTAAGTTTCCTGAGATGCCCTGTGGCCTCTAGGATGGTTGCTCCCCAGATCTCTAGAGATGGTACATCTGCTTTTCCTATGTCACCGAATTCTGAATGAAAACAGCTGCAGCTGGGCTCTGAGACCCACTTGGAGGATTCCCTCTGCCCTGATTACCTCCGCCAGCACTTGCAAAAATGACACTGACCACCTCTGAGAGCTATTTTAAGTTTTGTTATTATGGAATTTAAAAAAAACACAAAATTTTCAAAACCAAGATAGACCAGCTCAGATTTTCAGACACGACTCAGCATTTATTTCTCTCCCTGTCCCAGGAAGATGTTATCTTGCTGTTTACTGTGAATGAGATGAAACCTGATGCTCCAGGAACCAAGGCCACTTCCACTAACTTTTCTGGCATTGAATGGCAACATGACCCAACTTTTCCATAGGAAGTGGTGTAGTTAGAGTAACAGCCCTACTGGTCCTCCACATGGGGATGGGTGCGCTGCGGGGAGAAGAGGAAGGAGGTCTTTGAAAATCCCATTTTGTTGCTCCTCAGTTTGAACCCTCTGGTAACTTCTGTTGTCCTAAGTAGCGGTTCTCAAAGTTAATCCAAAACCTCAAAAGTGTGCTCAGTGAAAGAAACCAGACACAAAATAACACCTATTGTATGATTCTACTTATGTGAAATATACTAAAAGGAAAATATATAGAGAAGGAAAGAAAGAAGATTAGTAGCTGCCTAGGGCTAGAGGTGGGAATAGGGAGTGACTAGATGGGCACAAACTTCTTTTTAGAGTAATGGAGTTGTTCTAAAATTAGATTCTGGTAGATGATTGTATAACTTTGTAAATATACTAAAATTCATTGTATTGTACACTTAAAATGGGTAAATTCTATGCTACGTAAAATATCTCAATAAAACTTTTTTTAAAAGCAAAAAAAAAAGTAGTATTAAAAAAAAAGTTAATCCAAAACAGACTTACCTGGGTCTCTTGTTTGAAATGTAGATTCCTGGGGCCCTAAAACAAGTGCTTCTAATACAGGTGGTCCTTCACATTTTGGGGACTCTAGGAAAGAAATAGCTTAACATTCTTAATTTCACAGGCACAAAAAAGTTCTTTATGATGTAGGAGTTGCTACCTCTCAAGACCAAATCTCCTACCATTCTCCTTTTGCCATTTAGGATAATATTTGTTCTTATTGTTTGTAGTCTTTAGTATGTTTTATCATTTTTATAAATTTTATCATTTTTCTTCTGTTTCTAATTTACCTTATTAGGAATGTCTGCTAAATTTTACTTTAAAATATTTTTAGGACCAAAATGTCCATCAACAGATGAATATATAACAAAGATGTGGTGTATATATTTACAATGGAATAGTATTCAGCCATAAAAAAGAATGACATAATGCCATTTGCAGCAACATGGACAGACCTAGAGATTATTATACTAAGTGAAGTAAGTCAGACAGAGAAAGACAAATATAATATGATATCACTTATATGTGGAATCTAAAAAAAATGATACAAATGAACTTATTTACAAAACAAAAATAGACTTGCAGACATAGAAAAAATTTATGGTTACCAAAGGGGAAAAGGGGAGGGGGAGGGATAAATTAGGAGTTTGGGATTAGCAGGTACAGACTATTATATATAAAATAGATACACAACAAGGACCTACTCTGTAGCACAGGGAACTATATTCAATGTCTTGTAATAACCTATAATGGAAAAGAATCTGAAAAAGAATATATATATATCTATTCAGTTATCTTCCTAAAATCTCCATCTTTTATCATTTTAGGGATTGCCTGACTCTCTCTCCTGCGGTCCTTATCTTCTTTCTTGGTTAACTCTCACATCGTGAGGGAGCACATCCTCCAATAGCTTTCTGAGGAAGGGTACATATAAGTTAAGTTTTTCAAAAGATTCCAGAAAAAATTTTTTATTCTACCTTCAGATCTGATGGTCTGTTTAGCTGGGGTATAGAATTCTAGACCAGAAATAAATTTTCTCTGAGAATTCAGAAGGCATTTCTCCCTTGTTTTCTGTAGAAAATTTTTGCCGTTCTCATTCCTAATCCTCTGTATGTGGCTTGATCTTTCACTGTTTTGTCCTTAGTGCTATGCAACTTCATAATGATTTTTTAAAATTAAATTAAGTTTATTTATTTATTTTATTTTTGGCTGCATTGGGTCTTCGTTGCTGAGAGCGGGCTTTCTCTAGTTGCGGCAAGCGGGGGCTACTCTTCCTTGCAGTGCATGGGCTTCTCATTGCGGTGGCGTCTCTTTGTTGTGGAGCATGGGCTCTAGGCACATGGGCTCCATAGTTGTGGCTTGTGGGCTCTAGAGCGCAGGCTCAGTAGTTGTGGCGCATGGGTTTAGTTGCTCTGAGGCATGTGGGATCCTCCCGGACCAGGGCTCGAAACTGTGTCCCCTGCATTGGTAGGTGGATTCTTAACCACTGTACCAAAATGGAAGTCCCATAATGATGTGTTTTGTCAGAGATTTTTTTATCCTTGTGCTTGGCTCTGGGTAGACTCTCTCAATCAGTTCTGGGAAACTTCCTTGATAATTTTTTGTGTCTGTTTTCTCTGTTCTCTTTTTCTAGAACTCCTTATCATTCAAATACTGGACTTCCTCAAATGATCTTTGAATTTTATTATGTCTCTCTCTCTCTCTGGTTATATTTTCTTGGAGATTTCATCAAATTTGTCTTGGAACTAGGGTTACTAAATAAAATATAGGATACTTAGGTAAATATTAATTTCAGACAAATGAAGTATTGCCTGGGACATATTTATACTAAAAAAATTTGTTGTTTTCTGAAATTCAGATTAAACTGAGAGTCCTGTATTTCTGTTTGCTAAAATTGACAATACTTCATCTAATTATTCTCTTGAATTTTTCCTTTCTGCTATTCTATTTTTAATCTCCAATTAAAAATATATCTCTAAAATATATATATATATATTAGAACAGACTTCTGGTTGCCAAGCACGAGGGGTTTGGGGGAAGGATGGAGTGGGAGATTGGGGTTAGTAGATGTAAACTATTATATATGGAATGGATAAACAACAAGGTCCTACTGTATAGCTCAGAGAGGTATATTCCGTATCCTATGATAAACCATAATGGAAAAGAATATTTAAAAAAAGAATGTATAGGGGCTTCCCTGGTGGTGCAGTGGTTGAGAGTCCGCCTGCTGATGCAGGGGACATGGGTTCATGCCCTGGTCCGGGAAGATCCCACATGCCGTGGAGCGGCTGGGCCCGTGAGCCATGGCCACTGAGCCTGCGCGTCCGGAGCCTGTGCTCCGCAACAGGAGAGGCCACAGCAGTGAGAGGCCTGTGTACCGGAAGAAAAAAAAAAAAAAAAAAGAATGTATATATATGTATAACTGAACCACTTTTCAGTACAACAGAAATTAGCACAACATTGTAAATCAACTTGACTTCAATAAATATATATATATATATATATATATATATATATAAATTGTTCTCTAAATGTTACTCTTTAATTGCTTCTTTTGTTTCTTGAATACAATACCTTTTCTCTCCAGGTGATACTGAGGACTTTTTAAGTTTTCTTCTGTTGCCTATACTTTTTCCTTTTTTCCAAATTTTTTTATCTTTCTTTCTGGTCTCTGCCTTCCATGTTAGATTTTTCTCACGTATCCGGTGATCCTTGATTATTTGCTCATATTTAAGACTGATGTACTACAGACATAAAAAACAAACATGGTTACCAAAGGGGAAAGCGGAGGAGGGACACATTAAAAATTGGGGATTAACAGATATACTCTACTGTATATAAAATAAACAATAAGTACTTACAGTACAGCACAAGGAACTGTATTCAATATCTTGAATATCAATAACCTATAATGGAAAAGAATCTGAAAAAGAATATATAATATGTATATGTGTGTGTGTGTGTGTGTGTGTGTGTGTATAACTGAATCACTTTGCTGTACACCTAAAACGTTATAAATAAATTATACTTCAATTTTTAAAAAAAAGAATGCTGTACTAGATGGCCGTGTAGGAGTTCAGTGTGTGGGTGGAATCTGTTGGCTGGTGGGCTTCCCTGCAGCACTGTTTCATTGAGTGTTTCTAACGATCAATATCTTTAGGTCTTCTCCCCGGAGCTTGGTCAGGTCCTCCAAGGGGAAACCTCCAGTTCCCTTCTGAGAGGGATAAGCATGGCTACTAGTGTCTGAGAGGTGCGGCACAGAAGAAGACCAGGGCCCAGGGATCCCACCTTTCTGTAACTCATCTTCCACCTCGTCCCCATTTTCAGTGTGGTTTCCTTGCCTCGGTGTGCCTGGTGGCCTTTAGTCCAGAATCCCTCTGGTTCAGCCTCTAGGAGAGTCTTTGGCCAGGAGGCATTGGAGGGCCACTCATCCTGGGTGAGGCAAGAGAGGTGACCTGGGAGCCTAACTCCTTCTTATACAGATTTTTTAAAAAATTATATATATATTTTTCTGAGAACAAGATATTATTTTCCTCACCAATTTGCATCATTTCCCCACAGAGATGCTTCCGCTCTCTTCTGATTCCCCCTCACTCCAATAAGATGAGAGGTTTAGAATCATTTTACTTTCCATTTTCCTCCCTTAGACTTTTGGAATTTTTTTTTTTTCTCCCTCTCTTTCCACCCACCAGCAGTTGCTATTTTGTCATGGAAGCTCATATCCCTGTCCCTCCCCCACTCAGACACGCCTCTCACAGCTTCATCTTGCTGGGAATGTATTTTGCTTTTTCTCTCTGGCTGCTGGCCCCTTTTAGATGGCATGGTATTTTTCTGTGTGAGCTCTTCACGTCTTAGGACATGGGGGTTTATGAGTCCCAAGTGATGAGAATCCCACAGACGGCAGAAGCAATCTCTGTCCCCACGGGCTGATTTACAGAAGCTGCAGGAAACCCTTCCCTCCAGACTTCTCACACTGGCCCAGCTACAGGGTAGAGGACCCAGTCCCCATTCAGTTCCTTCTTCGCCTCTTGGGGTGGGAAGCCCAGCACAGACACACTGGGCCTGTGTTGACTTTATCCCCAACAGCCCAATCTTTCCAGGGTTTGCTGCTCCCACTCCTGGCCTTTGACATCATTCTCTAGGCACCTGCCCACCCACTGGGAGAAGCAGGAACCTCACAATTCTCTCTACTTGGAACCCGCCAAAGCCCAAGGCCTCACTCATACCCAGCCACCCACAGGAGTTAGCAGCTTATCTGGTTCCAGAGAGGAAGAAACTGGGGGTTTGGGAGTAGGAAAGATGAAAGTTGCATCTCGGTTGTTATATTCCCAGACTCCCCTTCAGCCACCATATTTTATTTTCATAGCCATTCATCACACAAGGGGAGCCCTGATTAAAAGAGCAGAGTTGGAATGAATAGCTATAGTCCTGGTTTGAAACCTGAATACAAGCTCATCCCACCCTTGAACTTCAGATTGGTCCATCTGGGAGACACATGCCAACTCCTGTGTCCTACACCATGATTTTAGCGCCAATGCATTCAGACATGAGAGAGAGTTACTGCACTTTCACCATGAAAGAAAAAAAAAAATCAAAATGACTCAGAGTAAAAATGTAAGCCTTTCCTAACCCTGCTTTATCTGATGAGATATCTACCTGCAATGAGGAATCACTGCCAGTCTCACCTCAGAAAGTTTAAGGATCAGGCTAGTTCTGGAAAGGAAGATTGAGTGGGCACGTTATTAACCTAAACGGAATTAGGTTTCTGTTTCAATAAAGATTCCCATGAAAGCTGAAAGCAATACAGCTACAGCAGTGCAGCCATAACACCCCACTGCCTGTAGGAAGATGTGCTTAAATTACACCTGGCTGTGCACCCCATTATCACTTTGCAAAAGGCAGTAACTTGAGGTGGACCTCTGTGGTCACAGTGTCCTTCAGGTGACAGCCTCAAAGGAATTCTAGCTTGGATGCAATCAATACTCCAAACAAGAGGCTGACAATGATTAATCAACTAATTATGATAGGCTCTCCTCATCCCATTATACGTGACTTATTGAATGTTTTGTATTTTTGGTTTAGTTGCAGTGAAAAGGGTGTGACAGCCATATTTCATTCAAACTGTGTCCATCTGGAAAGGTAATCAGCATCTTCATCCTCATCAGGTAGGCATCGCCAGGGCCTACCACACTGGGGCAAACAGCAATGCAAGAGACTTTGTCTCGTTTGCCTGTTTCCAGTCTGGTGAAAATTTCAATTCTCCTCTCTTACGAGACTCAGGAAGGACATCACACACTGGCAGCTTGTGGCTGCGCCCAGCCCTCAAATGTGTTTTGTATGAGCAACAGGGTTTTAAAAATGAATTCACTGTCAGCCTTTAAAATCAGAAAATTTAACATGAAAGTCTGGACTTCTAGCTTTTCTTGGGATAAAGATCATCCGGGGGACTTCCCTGGTGGCGCAGTGTTTGGGAATCCGCCTGCCAATGCAGGGGACACGGGTTCGAGCCCTGGTCTGGCAAGATCCCATGTGCTGCGGAGCAACTGGGCATGTGCACCACAGCTACTGAGCCTGCACTCTAGAGCCCGCGAGCTGCGGCTGCTGAGCCCGCGTGCCACAACTACTGAACCCACGTGCCACAACTACTGAGGCCTGCACGCCTAGAGCCCGTGCTCCGCAACAAGAGAAGCCACCGCAATGAGAAGCCCGTGCACCGCAACAAAGAGCAGCCCCTGCTCGCCGCAACTAGAGAAAGCCCGTGCGCAGCAGCAAAGACCCAACACAGCCATAAATTAATTTAAAAAACAAGGTTTTAAAAAAAAAAAGATCATCTGGCCACTCTGGCCCTGACAGCTGGCAGGTCTGAGGGGAGGCCACCACTGTTTTGACGCGTCAAGTGCTCTCCTGTTGACCCCAGACCCAACACTTTCTTTTTTTTTATATCCAGCAACTTCTCTCATTTTCACCACCTGCCTGGCTGCTGACTTAGGGGTACAATCCAGTAGAACAGTCTCCAGAGGCCACAGTTCCAGTCCCCACTGCACTGGGAAACTCTGGGCATCTCACATCACAATATTAAGGTTTTATTATATGTCAGGGAACAGGGAAGTGGTTGCCCGAGGGCATGAGTCTAGTATTCTTTCCCATGCACCTGTGATGAAGACCCTCCACGCAGGGCACAGACAAAAATGCTTCCATTGTTCAGGGGCAAGAAAGGGCAGCAGGAGCTGAAGGGACATGTGGCAGCATGTCGGGCAGGGTGCCTCCCTGGGTGACCAGACATGTCTAAAGGACAGTCCTAACCCTCCATAGAGAAAGAATGTTAACCACGCCTTAGTTCCTCCACGCCTGTTACTTTGGATCCAGATGAGAAGTTCTAAGAATCCCTCAGCGCCTCCAGCCTGACTCTGGCTTGGGGCACCTCTGTCCAGATCAGAGGGCCAAGGGGAGTGACACATCCTGGATCTTGGACCCCACATGTTTAATTGGGACAGCTTCCTGGTAAATGCAGAGATCACACAAAGCCCCAGGCGCCTTCCTGTTGATTTGAATCTGTTTAACCCCCAGCAGAGGAAAACAACATCAACAGATTAGTGGACACAGGAATCACCTGAGATCTTGTTAAAATGTGAACTCTGATTCAGAAGGTCTGGGGAGGAGCCCGAAACTCTGCATTTCTAACAAATTCCTGGGTGAGGTCAATGCTGCCAGTCCAAGGACACTTTCAGTAGAAAAGGGCTATGAAAACACCTTCTGTACCTGCTCATGGACATTTTTTGCCCTTCCTTCTGGGGCTCTTGTCTGTTTTCTCCACCCTATCCTTCTTTTTTCTTATCCTGCTTTTCCTCTCTCCATCCATCCTTCTTCTTGCCAACTCATTATTCCTACCAGGCATCCCTACCATCTCCCAACCTTCCCCCTTTCAAAGGATAAAGAAATTCCTGCCCCTTTCCCCCTGGACATTCATCTCCCTCCCTCCTCTCCTCAGTAGTGCCAGAAAAATAAAAGTCACCATTTATCAACAATTGTGTACCAAGCACTGTCTCAGTGTGTTACTGTTAGGTTGCACCCCGCAGGCCTGCAAGCCATGTAATTGCCCAGCTGCAAGACCCAAGAAAGAGCCCAGAGATAGAGATATCAACCATTTATTGAAGAGGGAATCTTATAAGTCTGAAGCAAAGTCCTGGAGCAATACTCTACCATGTATGGCTGCAGTCAGGAACCTTCGCCACTCAGGGGAGAAGGAGGCTACCATTTATAGGGGAAACTGTTGTCAGGTTGGCTTATCATGTACCAGGAAAACCAGTGGCTGGGGCAGGGGGCAGGGTAGTTCATGATTAAGCCCTATGATTAAGAGGATTGGATAGTCATGTGAGTAGGGTATAGGTGAAGCAGGGACTGGTCCAGCAGGGGATGTGTAAAGAGCAAGAGAACAGCCATCCTGAGTGGCCTGACCATACAGTTACCCATATTATTTAATTCTCACAACCACCCTACAGAGTATATATCAACACTGTCATTTTAGAAATGAAAAAATTGAGATTTGGGTAGTTAAAGAAACTTTGTCCTCAACTAGGAATTAATAAGTAGAGATTAGAATTTGGATCTGTTCAATGCCAAAGGCTACAACCTTTATACTACATTATGCTCATATAAGGTGAAATGGTCTAGAAGTCAGCAGGTAAGGGTGGACTGAGAAAAAAAAAAAAAAAGTGCCCCAAGCATCACTCTAGTTATGCATTCTGTATGGTCCTCTGCACCCTCCTTAAGCAAGTGCCCTATGGGACAGCTTGACACAGCGACAATAAGAGTTATTTTAGGAAAGCCCAGATTAGCTGCAGTGGTACAGGGTTCCCAATAACAGAGTAGTAGTATTAGAACCCAAACTTACCAATATGCCTAAATTTTCAAGGTAACTCTTAAATTGGGTTCATAACTGTACACATAGAGCCTACTACCAAAAAGAGAGTCCCACCATTAGCCAATCACCCAGTCATATGGAGTCTAAAGGATGGTTCCAAATCTCTCCTATCAATCCACACAGGGTCCTCCATGGATGGGAAGTCAATTCCCTTCTCTCTTTCTAGCTCCTCTTCCATAACCGCACCTCTAGCATCCCCTTGGTCTGTTATTATTCTCTGCCTGTTCTCAAGATTCTACCTAAGTGTCCTGGTTTCCAACCAGGGAGCCTTAGCTGATCTTAAAAACCTTTGTTTCTTTCAACAGAAACAGAATCACAGACATAGAGAACAGACTGGTGGTTGCCAAGGGAGAGGGGGTTGGAGGAGGGATGGAGTGGGAGATTGGGGTGAGCAGCTGTAAGCTTTTATATATAGAATGGATAAACAACAAGGTCCTAGCACAGAGAACTATATTCAATATAGTTGAATATAGCACAGAGAAATATATTCAATATCCTATGATAAACCATAATGGAAAAGAACATTAAAAAAAAGAATGTATATATATGTATTGCTGAATCACTTTGCTGTATAGCAGAAATTAACACAACATTGTAAATCAAGTGTACTTCAATTTAAATAAATAAATACCTTTGTGTCTTTCAGATTCTTCAGACTGCAGAATTTACAAGACAAACAAGTCTTGCTTATGTTGGCTATCTCCCTCCCCTGACTTTTTTAGGTGTAGCAAAATTTTTTTAAATCTCCTTTTAATTTATCCCAAAGATCCCACAAGGTATGAAAAGAGAAAAGGCAAGAGGTACGGATGAGGAAAATTCCATCTTGACACAAAAATTTTTTAAAGGTCTAAATTCACTCAAAGGAGAAGAGTCAGAATTTTAAAATATGGAATGGACAGGGAAATTGGGAGCAGTATCATTTGGGGGAAGGAGCCCTGGCCCAGTAGTCATAGATTTAGGTTCTAAATCCATCTTTGCCACAAACCAGCTGTGCAACCTTGGATAAGCTGTGTCAGTTTTTTGGACACTGGTTTCTTCACCTTTGGAGTGAGGGGATTGAATTGAACGATTGCCAAGATTCCTTTGATCTCTACTTTTCAGTGTCTTCCCTAGCACCTAAAATAAAATGAACCAGAAAGCTGTTGTGAAATAATGTGGCATTTCACCAGAAATTTAGACATAAACTAGGTTGAGTCAATGCATGAAAACAAGAGGGTAAAAAAAACAGTGAATTAATAATGATAAGTGAATAAAAATGATAAAAATAAAAGACCAAGAAAGTAAAGACAAAAAATGGCTGATTCTATAGTTTTTCTTTTTAAAAAGATTTTAAATTCTCTACCAAGTGGCCACCCACTGTCCATAATTATCAGTTACTTATAAAGTATGTAATTGGGGCAAGGCATGTTCCATTCTGTAATATATTGTCATTGAAAAAATGTTTTCTGATAGAACTATTGAATTATAAGGTCAACCACCAACATTTTTATCTAAACAATGGTAGGTAGATCAGAAATAAAATTAGGTCAATGTGAATAATTTCCTTCCTGGCAGGTTATGTAATTTTGCATACATGGTATTTTCCATCTCTGAAGTCAACATGTAATTATGTTTGTTTTATACCAACTCATCTGCCCCCAAATGTTTCAAACTGAAAAAGAGAAAAAGTGGCCTGTAGCTACCACTCCCTCCATGCACATACCCGGCCGGAAAAGAGAATTGCTGGGACACACCAGCACTGGACTCTTTTGGGGAGTGTGCTTGGGGGAAGGCCCACCCCCCAATACTATAATGGCAAAGATAATAACTCTCTGTGTTTTCTAATCATCTGGATCAGTAAAAATGTATCACTCAGTCTGTATGGACACCACCTTCCTCAGTCTGTAATTAAGGATGCCCTCCCACATCTGGCCCTTGAAGACCTGATCTCTCCTGAAGGGTCATCACTTGTCTTCTGTGAATCACCCTTCATCAGCCCAAACCATGTGTGTAGGAGGATGCCTCAGCCACTCTACTCAGGGGGGTGTGCCTTGGTGGAACATTTTCTGTGATGATGCTACAGTTGAAGATTCATCTCATTATCTTCCTTCTGGAGCTCCATCCTGGTCTCAGGTACCCATGCCCTCTATGCCAAAAATCACATTTGAAAATAATATTTTGATCCTTTGTCCTGAACTCCCCAGGCTGACTTAACGTTTACCATTGAGAGAACTCTTCTTTATGAAATAGCAGTTATTAGCTTGGAGAACCCAAGTCCCATCATTTTGTGTCCACCACATTCCCAGATGAGGGAAATGAAAGGCACCAAGAAGCCTGGAGTGTCAGAATCCTTACCTAGATCGAAAGGCAAATTTCGAACAACCTCCTGCTCTTCTCCGCTAGTCACTAGGACCTACTTACTTCTTACCTTCATCAAGAACAATTGGAAAACACGGCTGAAGATGTGGATTGCAAATTGACCCAGGCCATTTGACAATTTGGTAATTATGACACCCCTGTGGTG